GGTTTCTCTAGCAATGAGCTCCATTGTGAGCTCGGAGCTCAAAATGCAAGACTTGGGGTGCTCATAGAGTTAAATTTTGTCAAGATCAATGCTGTAACTTCCACGTTTGCATTTCCTTTTCCTTCCCACAAGTCACAGAAAGTGTAGAGAGGCTGTAGGTATGGGAGAGGAGGAAGAAGTTGGAAAATTATCCAATACCAGGAACTCCTTAGGGTGGTATTATGGGGGTGTCACAGGAATGTGAAAGGACAGAAGGGAAAGGCAGGCAGAGGCATCACCAAAAAAGTGACAGGAGCATGCCTCCTTTATAATTTTGCAAAGCCTTCTTGATTTTATACCTTACAAAAAATATTTAATAACAAAACCTAATTAATGTTTGAATTATGAAGTGACCTAGGGACAAAACTATGGTAGGCAGAATAGTGCCCTCCCACAAAGAAGTCCATGTCCTAATCCTCAGGACCTGTGAATATGTTACCTTACGTGGCAAAGAGACTTTGCAGATGTGATCAAGTTGAGGATGTTGAGATGGGGAGATTATCTTGGATTATTTAGTTGGTCTTAATGTTGTCACAAAGGTCCTTATAAGTGAAAGTGGGACAGAGCCAGAGGGAGGTGTGCTGCTGGTTTTGAAGATGTAGAAAGGGGCCGTGAGTGGGGAAATGCAGAGAACCTCTAGGAAAGCCTGGAAAATGCAAGGGAACAAATTCTCCACAAGAGGCTCCTGTAAGGAACAGTTGATTTTACCCTTACCATGACAGACTTCTGACCTACACAACTTTGTAACAAAATGTATGCATTGTTGTAAGCAATCGAGTAGGGTTATTTGTTACAGTAGCCACAGAAAACTGATAGAACAGCAAATGCAATGCATCCAGCACTTTACAGGAAGACCTAAGTGGGACACCCAACATAAACTGGGGAGCTCAGGGAAGGCTTTCTTATACGTAGGAAATAAATGGAGAAGGAGTTTCCAGGTCAAAGAGGAGGAGAAAGAACATCCTAGTCTATGGAGCTGGGGGTGGAGGTGAGACAAGAACAAAAACGGGAATAAGGTAAGAAATAAGAGTTGGTTTGGAACACAGATCAGCCTTGTTGAAAAATAATGTGGCAAAGATGAAGCAGGAAGGACGGATGGGAGAGACGGGAGCAACTTCTCTCCCTGGGGGAGGGTTTAGGCTTTCAATAAGAGCTCATGAGGAGGCAAGGAAACATTTTAAAGATTGGTGTGTGTTAGTGTGTGTGTGTGTGTGTGTGTGTGCGCGCGCGCATGTGTTAGAGGCTGGAATGACAGTAAAATTTGCATTTAAAATTGCACTAAATATATGTATGTGTGTATAGACACACACATATATATTAAATGCAAATTTAAAATAAAATAATTTTAATACATTTTAAATGCAAATTTAAAATAAAATGAAATTGCACTAAATGCACACACATGCATGTAGGCACACACACACACACAGACACACCCCTTTTCCTTTCAGCAAATAGTCCTTGAACAGAGATAAACAACAGTGATTTCAACTAGGAGACTGGGTTCAAATGCCGCAAGCCACAGGCTCTCAATATCACAATGCAGGGTATTAGATTTACAATCAGACCCTCTTTCAATGTGGGTGACAATTTGCAGTTCTTCAGGAGGGGAGACTGCATCTGCTGCTTTCTTCTGCACCTCAACCCCTCCTCTTTTTAATGGAGTGAGTAGGAGAAGGGATTTATTCAATGTGGGCACCCTGGGGGTTTGAGGTTGCTTTAGTTCCCACCTAATCTCTATCAGACCCAACCAAAGCTATTCTGAAAATTACATAATAGTAATACTTTTACTAATACTTAATGTGGACAATCTTAAAGCATGGAGGTATACAGGTCTAGAAAATTTTAAATGGTTTGTACATATGCGGTCACAAAAATAATAATCAAAGGCAATAGCTGTAAGAGAAATTCATAAACATCAATCCCTGCCTCATCCCTAACCCTCCAATATCCAAGCTCTGAGACACACTGCTGAAGTTTTAAATTAATAATAGTTTATAGATTCTCTTGAGCTTTCCTCTGGAGGTTGCTAATATATTGTAATTCCACACTCTTATGAAATCCTGAGTTTTCGCTACTCCCCTCCAGAAGAGGTTTATTAAAATTACTGAGGAAATAGTCTATTTGCAGAACTATGAAATAAAATTATGATTTCATCCTAATTAGAATGACCAGTTCACTTAAAGTCTCCCCTCTTCCCCGAGAAACATACACAAAAATCTCAGCTTCATCTCTGACCTTGTCAATTTCTTATGGGATATTGTCTCAGTTCCAGGGGCTATAACAAAATAACATAGACTAGTATTAAACTGGCTTAAACCACAGTTAACCACCATTATTTATTTCTCACAGCTCTGGAGATTGGGCAGTCCAAGATCAAGGCCCCCGGAGATGTGGTGTTTGTGGGGGGCCTGCTTCCTGGTTTGCAGATGGCTGTTTTCTTGCTGTGTCCTCACATGACAGAGATCTCTTCTCTCTCTGTCTCCCTCTCTTTATTTGAGACAGAGTCTTACTCTGTTGCCCAGGCTGGAGTGCAGTGGTATACTCTCAGCTCCCTGCAGCTTCTACCTCCCAGGCTGAAGTGATCCTCCCACGTCAGCCTCCTGAGTAGCTGGGACAACAGGAGTGCACCAGCATGCTTGGCTAATTTTTGCATATTTTGTAGACATGAGGTTTTGCCACATTGCCCAAGCTGGTCTCAGACTCCTGGGCTCAAGCAATCCACCTGCTTTGACCTCCCTAAGAGATGGAATTACAGGCATGAGCCAACGTGCCCAGCCTTTTGTTGCTTCTTATAAGGGCACTAAAATCTATTCATGAAGGCTTCACCTTCATTACCTAATTACTTCATGAAGACCCCACTTTCACCACCACATTGGGGATTAGGATTTCACTATATGAATTTTGGGGGGGGAATACAAATCATTCCGTCCATAGCAGATACAGTGAGACTTAGGTATGAAATGTTTTCCTTTAGCTCTTACTTTTCTTACTAATTTTATTAAAAATAGTTGAAAGATAGAAAATGAGTTAGCTCGGCAGTTCTGGACAATCCATCCTATGTTTACCCAGCTCAACCCAGGCTAATTTCCCTCTCCAGGAAGGGTCAAGGCCAGGAAGAGAGGTAGACAGGTCTCAGAAAGCAGGCAGCGTCAAATGCTGAGCAAAAGCCGAGCTCAGAAAGAGGAAATGTGGTGTTTATGGAACCAACTTGCAAAGGCAAACATTAGCAAACCAAAGAAATGTAACAAATGATTCTCAACAGCTGGATTTCTTCAATACTTAAACTTGTAGTAAACATCCATGGCTATCTTTGGAACATGATTTTTGTGTAAATATACATACATCTATTTACATAACCTCAAGGATTAGTTAACAAAAAAATTAACTAAGAGCCATCAACTTTCACTTCTCCAATTGGGTCACAATCCACAAGTTAATCTGTTAGGAAAAACAATAACATTTCTCTCTAACTGTGGTGGGAATCAGTAATTGCAGGTTTCCCAGGAAAATTCTGAAAAGCCCTTGGATACTGAAGGATTTGGGTTGCAGTTTTCTCAATCTGTTAAATGTTGAGTTGGGGGAGAAAATACACTTTTTTTTTTCCCCAGAATCCTAAAAGTTTATGAACTTTCAGAGAAACACAAAGCCAACCTAAAAAAGTTCCCAGTGGGCAAAGCTGGAGCAATTTGAGCAACAAAATAAATAATGTAGTATTGAATTATGTCCCAAAGTATAAAATAAATATACATGAGTCCATACTGACATAACAAATACTGACATAAACAAATGATTTAATAAACAAGAGAGATGGAACAAATCTTTCTTACACAATAATTCTAAATAATAATATGTAGATACTCCCTCCTCTGGGATGGAGTTTAATCTTGCCCTCATCTTGAGTGTGGGTTGAATTGAGTGACTGCCATTCAGAGTAGAGTGTATGGAAAGAGAAAAACAGCTTTGCATTAGAGAAACCTGGCAGACACAACCTTAACTGAGGGATCAGTGTAAAGTTACCAGTGATAAGTCATGTGGCCATTGTGCCATGGTCCCTGAGAGGATGCGATGGGGAAGGCAATTCATCTCTGTGGCTTTCATCCCCCGCGTCTCATCATAAGAAAAAAACGTTAGACAATACCCACATGACTGGGTGTTGAGGTACTCCACAAAATTACACCTTACCAGAATACTTTCTCATAATACTTTACCAGAATTCCTTACAGCTATCAAGGCCAAGAAAAGACTGAGAAACTGTCATGGATTGGAGGAGACAAAGGGCACAGGAAACTAAGTGCAGTGTGGTATCCCTTCTGGGATCCTGAAAAGGAGAATCGTTAGCCAAAAAGCCAGTGAAAGCTACATTAAGTCTGGAGTAGTGTTAATAGTGGCAGACCAATGTTAATTTCTTTTAAAAAATATTTTTAGTAGAAACGAGGTCTTGCTATATTGCCCAGGCTGGTCTCGAACCCCTGAGCTCAAGCGATCCTCCCGCCTGCCTTGGCCTCCCAAAATGTTGAGATTACAAGGCGTGAACCACCGCGCCTGGCCCAATGTGAATTTGCTACTTTTGACAAATGTGCCATGGTTATGGAAGCCATAGGTATTAGGAGACATCAGCTGAGGGGTATATAGAGGACTCTCTGTACTGGTTTTGCAACTTTTTTTAAGTTCCAAAAGAAAGTTTTATTAAAAACAACAAAAAAATACACTTGTACTCCATAAATTTATGCCAAAAACTATGAAATCAAAAAATTATTTTAAAAATAAAAGTTTATGATCTTCGGGTACAAATATAACCTTCTTGTAAAGCAGCAGCCGATCATCCCCACCCCCATGCACAGCACCCTAGCGAGGGGCTTGAGGAGCAGAGTCTGACTCTCCGGCGCTGGGCGTGCAAGTCCCGCGACTCCTCCCCGGAGCCTCACCGGCGCCGGACTCTGCCCTGGGCGCGCCCCGCGGGGCGGAGTCAAACCTGCGGGTGGTGGCGGCTGCACTCGCAGGGCCCTGGCAGCCGGCCGTGGCCCCAAGGACCAAACGCCCAGGGGAGGAGCAGCACTGGGACCCCGCGCCGGCTGGGAGTCCCCCAAGGTAGGCGAGTCTGGCCACCTGCGGGCCTGGTCTCTGCAGCACGCTGCGGCATCCCCGCCAGGTGTGTGGTGTCCAGGTGCCTTTCCAGCGGCTTCCCCCAGCGGAGCTCCTGGCGCCAAGGACATTTCCTGTAAAAGGGTCCTTGGTGAAGAGGGTAACCCTCCCTGGAAACCTGGGTTCTGGGCTCGGATTTCTGGGCGAGAAGTTTCTTCTCCTCTGGAAAGAGTTGCTTTTCCGCAGAGGGGAACCCCTCTTTAGCTGGGCGCACACCTGATTATTTACTTAGGTTGATGTTATACAATCCGTTTATCAGGGGTCCCCAAGATTTCTGCCCGCTAATTTCAGTGGCCTTGGAGAAAACCCCTTCGGTAAACGCCCTGACCTGGGAACTTCAGTATGATGACTTTGACACATTACTGCGCTCGCATTTTTTTAAAAGCAGAGATGAATGAAGGTGGCTGTGTTCATTCATTTGTGAGGACTTCTGCAGCTGCAGGTGTAGTAGAAAGAGCAGCCCACTGCTTGGACGTTTCCTTAACCTTGTGTAGGCATCACAATATTTTAGAGCTGGAAGTTACAGCGTGCTGGGCGGCTAGACAAAGCAACGCTTTTGTCTTACTAAAAAATAGTATGGGACTGTGCAAGTGTCGTTTTCAGATTGGGTGATGACGTAGTTGTGAATTTTTAGCCTTTTTGGAAGGGAAGACAAAATTGAACGTAAGGATCAGAACAAGCAACAAGCCCTGTACATAAGTATCTGTTCCCCATTGTATTGCAATTGTTTTATTTTAGGAATCAAAACTTCTTTGGTGTATATAGATTGGATGAAGTGTCAGAATACTAAAAGGAATTATTCTGTGTTTGTGATAGGAAGGAGATAATTTGTCCTTTTGATTTGACCTAATGCTATTAAATATTCAGAGCTACAGCAGTCTGGTTTTCCAGAAATGTGAGCTGGGCAGGAGTGTTAGATACCCCGGATGACACAATTGGTGCTGTTGTTAAGCTTTTCCCCAGCTAGAGTGAAGGCCCCTGACACAGAAGAATTTCTGCCCAAGGCAGGGAGTATCCCCGTGTGGTTCCTCAAATATTTGCAGAAAGAATGAAAACAACTATACTTCCAGGCTGACCTCATAAGAAGGTTCTTACCTCTTATTATTTACAAAATAAATTGATTCCTTGTCCTAACTAGAAAGAGATTTTTGAAATTAGTACAGGTGCTATTTTGTGAATTAGTGATAGGCATGTTATTCAAATTAGTGATAGGCATGTTATTTGCTAGCTTATTTATTTACAGCATTCAAATTTTGGCCAAAGCTAATAAACATAGCTAGATTTAGACAAAGCTAAAATATGAGGTGCACATTTGCTTGGAATAATGACTGCAAAGGGAAAGAATTGAAGATTTTGATGGGAACATAAAAGTCTTTTAAAGCAGTAGTTTCACGTCTTTCCAACTGAGATATTTACATCCAAATTATATGGCCATGTATTGATTGAAAACATTTCATAATGGCAAAATTTTACCACGAATTTACTAACAGGTTTAAATGAAGGTCATTTACTAAGCACAAAAACAGCTATATATGTGAGTTTGGAAAACAAAAGAGAGAGAGAGAGAGGATGTGTGTGTACATTCTGTGTGTGTACATTCAGTTTTAGAAGCTATCTGGTGCATCTGTAAATTTGTGGGCCTATTCATGTATTCATTGAAACAATATTTATTGAGAGCACTGTGTTCTGTGTGGGAGAACCAACCAGGTGGGAGGGGAAGTCGGGTCTGGGCCAAACACAGCCCTGTGTAAATAAGACACATTTCTGTCCTCCTGGAATTTACTACGTTGGAGTCTTCCAGGCCACCCCAAGTCAAGTGCATAGATTTGCAGACCACATCAATGATCCATTCAATTTGGACAGTGACTGAAACTAAATTAGTTTCAAATCACATATTCCCTTACACTAATTTAAATACTCAAATCTAAAAATGATAGAGGAGCTCACATGTTATTCTGCTCAGTGGTTTTCTTTTTTGTTTAGGTTGGGGAAGAACTTAGGAATCATGTGTTCCAGGTTTGATGTTGTGAAATATTAACCTAAAATAGCTAAGTATCAATTTCATGCAAATTAAATAAAAACTAAACTTGTAGTATGGCTGACAATAATCTAGAGACAAAAATTAATAAGCAAAAAATTTAAAACTGAAAAATATCTATCCATTAAATTATTTTTTGGTGTAAATTAGAAAAATATGACTACAATTATATTTCCCCCCAGAGGAAAACAGCATCTTTATTCAAGTTATTCTTACTTTTCCTCTTTTTTTTTTCTTTAAACATCTTTATTGAAGGTATAATTTACCTACTATAAAACACATCCAAGTGTGTAATTCAATGATTTTTGGTAAATTTACCAAATGGTACAACCACTGGCACAATCCAATTTTAGATCATTTCATCATCCTTCAAACATCCCTGGGGCCTGTTTGCAGTCACTCACCATTCTTACCCCCAGCCTCATGCAACCACTAATCTATTTTGTCTGTTTAGATTTGCCTTTCCTGGACATTTCATACAGATGGAATCGTACAATATATAGCCTTTAGCATCTGGCTTTTTTCAGTTAGAATAGTTGTTGAGGTTTATTCAGGTTGTCACGTGTATCTGTAGTTGGTTCCTATTTATTGCTTAACTAGTATTTATTCCATATCATGGCTACACCACATTTTGTTCACCATTTGGTAGATGTTTCTGCAATTACATTTGCATGGTAAAACAGATACATTGGTGCAGCATCCATGGTAGGATAATTTGGGAATAACTGATATGAGCCAACATCTTATTTGATGCTTTGACTCTCTTCTATAATTTTAAATATGAATGCCAAGAGTTAAGCAACGAGGTTGCTATTAAGCAGTTATTTTTGTGTGTGTGTGTGTATAACTGTCTAGAGAACCAACCAACATTAAGAACTTCTTAACTTTCCTTAGTAATTTGGGATGCTGAGGCAGGTGGATCACTTGGGGCCAGGAGTTGGAGACCAGCCTGGCCAACATGGTGAAACCCCTTCCCTACTAAAAATATTTTTAAAAATTAGCTGGGTGTGGTGGCATGTGCCTGTAATCCCAGCTACTGAGGAGGCTGAGCCAAGAGAAATGCTTGAACTTGGGAGGTGGAGGTTGCAGGGAGCCGAGATGGTGCCACAGCACTTTAGCCTGGGCAACAGAGTGAGACTCTGCCTAAAACAAAGAAACAGGAACTTCTTAACTTTCCAAGAACATTGACTTTTGGTATACCCTTGTTAGGAATCGGAAAACTGGAACAGCAGTTCCAAGCCAGAATTGTTTTCTTATAAATCTCCATTGACCCTGCTTTATGCTAACTATTATGGCAAATGCAATTTTCAGGGATGTGGGTCATGCTTGACAATTTATGCTTAGAGATCCTCTTAGGGAGATTTCTCTAGTTTACTGAAATCCTTTTATAAAAATCTAGTCAGTTCTGTGAGCCTAAAAAGAAGACAATGTCTCTCTGAGTACCTTTAAGTTACTACATAAATTCCAAGTTCCTTTTGGGGAAGAAAAAAGAGCATCAGATTAACTTGAGGTCAATTTTTGTTTTTGTATTTTTCAAGACAGTGTCTTATTCTGTCACTCATGCTGGGGTGCAGTGTCAGGATCCTAGCTCACAGAAGCTTCAAACTCCTGGGCTCCTTTTGCCTCAGCCTCCTCTATGACTGGGACTACAGGAATGTGCCAGCAAGCTTAATTATTATTTTTTTTTTTTTGTAGATTGGGTATCACTGTGTTACCTAGACTGGCCCCCAATTCCTGGCCTTAAGCAATCCTCCCACCTTGGCCTCCCAAAGTGCTGGGATTACAGATGTAAATCACTGGGCCCAGCCCTTGAAGTCTATTTTATTGGCAATTTAGATTGCAAAAGATTTTTTTAACATCTGCAATTTGAAAAGAAGACAACATAGGTTAAATAATATCGTTTTCCAAAGCTGAATGTCTTCATTTGCAACTCGTTTTTTTCTGCTTGAAATGTCAAAACAACTTTGTAAAACTCCTAAGTGAGAATAGTACTACTGTTTTGATGATCTGTGTGTGATTGGATGGAGTAATCAATCTCAACTGGTAATATCCCTTTGTTTCCTTGGTAAGGATTTTTAAAATTCTAAAACAAATGCATTTTTTTCTAGCCTTACACTGACAATTTTACACCAAGTATCTCTTGAGAGGTATTTACCATCTACAGAAATTAATCTTTATTGTTCTCACTTTCATATACTCCAGGGATCAGGATCAGGGTGGAGACATTCATCATGCTATGTTGGTTCATAAAGAGGAAGAAGGCTTGATTAGTATTGAGCTGTAAAACCTGCTATTTATTTTGATGAGGTCACTTATGTTGTTGTGATCTGATACAGGAACTTTGTTTTACCCAAAATGAGAAGCTGCCTCTGACACGTCTATCTTTCTATTAACACCTGGATTTTGGTAGGATGCTGCTCTTGGATAAGGCAAACATCTTCATGGTGTGGGAGGGTGGGCGAAGGTGGTGATGAAAATTAGGGTCATGGCAGGGCGTGGTGGGTGGCTCACGCCTATAACCCCAGTACTTTGGGAGGCTGAGGCAGGTGGATCACCTGAGGTCAGGAGTTTGATACCAGCATGGGCAACATGGTGAAACCATGTCTCTAATAAAAATACAAAAATTAGCTGGGCGTGGTGACATGCACCTGTAGTTCCAGCTACTCGGGAGGCTGAGGTAGGAGATTGCTTGAACCTTGAACCCGGTTGCAGTAAGCCGAGATTGCACCACGCACTCCAGCTTGGGTGACAGAGGGAGACTCTGTCTCAAAAAAACAAAATAAAGAAAGAAAATTATGGTCCTGACTCTTTCAGGCCCTGAATAAGTAGATATTTTCATCACTGATCCAACAGCATATGTGCAGATGGACAAATATGAAGAATGAAAACATATTGTGCATCTAGAAAG